AGAAGCAAGATATTCTTTTCCCTATACCAAATAAAATAATTTGATTCTCAAAAGTGTTGTCGAAATGCTTATGAAAATTGATTGTATGTGGTTTTGTGTATATAGTATATTCCACCTCACTACCAAGGAAACCTAAGAAAATCGATATGAATGCGTCGCAATGAGAGAGAAGACTATATCCATCTTCTCTATTGGGTGGAATTTTTTTCAACTCAATTAAGTTCTATCCTTCGCTCAGCGCCAAATCCGCTGGTGATTCACCTAGTCGGAGTACAGCGCTATTGACGTGTGCATAAGTTACGTTCGAGGTCCCCCGATGGCTGAAAGTTTGCGGCCCTCTACGCAATTGGTCCATCATTGATCATCACTCCACAAGCATATAGCTTGTTTTGCTCCAACTACAATGGTTTTAACAACAACCTATTTAAATGACATCCGACGCCGCCAGTGTCTTAGGCTTTAGGAGGATGAAATTCATCTTCACCTTGGGCTTTCAAACACTGGACTGCTGTCATGTTCAACCAGCGATACGCTAATTAAGGCAACAGCAGTTTTACAACCGCCATTGGATATCTAGGTTGCCGCCAACAGCTGAAAAGGTACGCGGTTATCTTCCATCAGAGCGCAGCCATCGCAATACCAGCCGTGAAGCCGATATCGGTCAGAGTACCACGGCCTTTCGACAACCTCGTTAACGTGATGCTGCCTACGAGCGATAAAGATAATGCGGTCGAAATTCGACTTCAACATTTTCTTCGGCAACGTAAGACTACCGTCGTCCAAGACCGGCACGGGCCAGTCAAGGGGACGATAGTTATTCAAACACCAATGCACGTACAGACTCCAGTAGACGGGCCATAGGTAAAAGCGCGAGTAACAAAAAAAACCTCCACTAGCCTTGGACACCGTCAAACCTTTGTCATCGCCAATGCCGTTCGCGTGATTGCGATGTTTAGAAACYCATACGTATTATCGCATAGGTACTACCGACGGTGATGTGAAGGGTGCGGTCAAACGAAATAAATCGCCAACTACAAGCCCGTCACGCCGCCGGGTCCATCACTGTCACGCTCACAGCGTTCTAAACTATCCTCGGTATAACTACACTTGTGCCGTTGCTGCCATCGTCATTCATCGATGAATGTTAATTGGGGCCAAAAATGTATGCATCTGTAAACAAACAAATAAAAAATAAATAATTATTCGTATTACAAATTAGTACCTAATATTATTATATAGTAAAAGGAAATATATTTTTTATTTTTATGAAAAGTTGTAATATTAACCCCAAAATGTGGTACTAATAGCTACAATACACTTTATAATGCAATGTGGTAATATAAGTATAAACAAAGTAAAATAACAGTAAGCAGTAAATTTAAGCAAATGGTTTTTGTAACTATGGACCTATATAAATATATTGTATATGAAGTTTATAAGTCTTGATATTTAAGTATCTGAAAAACACACAACAAATATTTAATAATAATAATAATAATAATAATAATAATGATAATGATAATAATACATTAATAGCCAATAGTTACTCTTTTTTTTTAGCACCATCGCAGATTTTGAAAAGGTTTGATGAAATGGAAAATACCGGGTATTTGCAATATTGAATTATATGGAAAACTATGTTAAACGTCTTCAACACCTAAGTGTTGTCATGGCATACATTCTGATCTGAAAACTTTCAAGTAGGTACAACTTATCAAAATATTCATTAAATGTAGTATTAATTGATWATATTTATACCATTAAACAGCAATGATGATAATTTTATGTTGGTTGGTAGAACTTTGGTTGAAGATGGTCCTTGCACAGTGGCATTGGTATAAGTAAGCAAATACATAAACAAAAAACGAACCAATTATACAGTGGCATAGTGCGCTATTTATATGTTACTGGCAATGTATTGAATCCATCATTATATAGAAATCATAGATGTTCCATTGAATGTCAAAACTTAGCAAGAAAATTATAAAATCTATGAATACAATAACTACATAGGTATTCTATAAATTACCTAACCTTAAGCAGAAAAAAATATATAATTAATATAGAGAATACATGAAGGCAGAAAATGGTGCTACGGTTATAGTTCCAGGGTTGAGTGACGACGATGTTTGAAACATTTTAGTTGTAAATAATATTAAAACAGCTATTTATACTTAAATTGTGTACTTATTTTGTAAAATGCATCCAATGAATAATAATAATAATAAACTTTGTGCTTCTGTTATAGGTACATACATGTTATTRTACAACCTTAATAGGTAGGTAATCTATAGATATTATATACGCTATTTATCTTTTACATAATCTTCRTAATTTAAAATATCAAATTCTAAACAAAAACCACACGGACTACCCTACATAAATAGGCATTAGCTAATTATATTAAATTATTGTATAAATTATGATATACCTACARCTTACGATTAGGTATTTAAAATGTATRCAATYAGGTACCTATATTTTTTAATTTAAATTATAATATTAATAACTAATAACAAATAAAGTAATAACTACTTTCATATAATATTTTACTTGAATCAACTTAATAGTTGATATATCATTTCTAAACACTGCAAAATTGCAACATTGATTTTAAAAACTTGTATGATTCAACTTTACATTTAAAATAATGCTAAACGATGTACTTATATATAAAATCAAACAGATTTTGAAAGAACATCACATTTTGTCAACATAAAGATATGATWGAMCCAATATTAAATTATAATAACTTGGGCTTGGATGTTGTTACATTCATTAAAAGTTAGTAATGGTTATAGTTAAACTTAGGGACTTAAAAGCTTTAAACTCAGACAAATAAAAATATGAACGAATATATATGCATACACTAGAACAAGAAAATGTTGACTAAATTTATTTATTTTTTAAACTAATAGGTAGGCCAATAGGAGGGATCGTCATCTGTAACATGGAACGCAAAGCCATCACATGTAAATCACAAAATATTTACACAACATTGTTAAAATGCATTACATAATATGAAGGTATGGGAATTTTAACTTTTAAGACATTTATATGAAATTGTTTAGGCTTTAATAAATAAAACCTGTATAATATGCAGAATATATTTTTAAAATATTATAAACAATAAAATATAAGTTTTTAATTTAATCTTAACAACATCAAAATCCCAATCATGAAATCAAATAGAAATCTAAAAACGCATAATATACTCGTATTTATTAAATAATGTTGTTGAATTCTATGAAATTATTACTCATGATTCATGAGTTTAACTGAATTGTGTGTAAAAAGTAAAATTTTACGATTCTGTTCAATACGTCAAACATCAACTATAGTATGCTGTAATAAATAAATAATAAACAATAATAAATTCTATTTTGATTTAACACATTAGTACATTACCTAACTTTAATAGACTTATATTCAACACTTCGACAGTAACATATAATGTTAATGAATTGAATAGATATAATAATATTATTTTAACTCACCTAATTGAACAGCTATTTATAATGAATAATTTAATACTGCAATATGAAAACAGGTTCTGATCGTTTCTCTCTGATAGCAGATCTAACACAAAAATTGTGAATTTAATTAAGCAATGGTTTCAGCAAAATTGGTCGTTTGGCTTGTCTTTTAAGATATAGKTACAAATATCTATTTAAATAAAAATTAGTAAGCACTTAATTATATAATATCAAATTAAAATTACAGTGGGAAAAATCAAAATAATAGTAAACACGTACTATTTAAATATATTCGTTATCTATTCCTCACAGTCACTGTAGCTATATTGAAGATTAAAACTTTTTCATGTAACGGTCAATGGCAGTTAATTCAATTTAATAAGTTGATCCACTCTTTGGTCAATTTGTTTAATGACTGGTCTTCCCATGAATTGAATTATAGAATGCATATATTAACAAACAAGGTCAATTTTAGTGGCTGTTGAAAATGTTATATTGTTTACCTACTTTCTATAAATTTACCTTATTATCATTAAAAAGACGGTTAAGAACGTATGTTGTCATATTAAATGTTTCGTTAATAGTTTCTCTTTTCCATCATCTATAGTTGATACTAGTTACTTAATTGCATCTATGTGATTCTAGTGTTCTTTAGGTGAGCTCCAAGATCATATATAACCAAATAAACAAAAATAAAAATAATAAACAATGAATAATATTAAATTATAAGTAATAGTACAATACATGTCAATGAAATATGTACCTTCTAATGTGTTATACATTTCCTCAAAGTATTATTTCAAAATTACTCTTGTTCGATAACTTCCAAGTAGGTAAATATTTTGTCAAACTAGAAAATATCATACATTATACTTAATTATTCCCGTATTCTCACTAAAAACGTTCGACATAATTACTTACAATAAAAAAATATCATGGTTGTTTTTGAGATGTTAATATTATCATATTAAAATTATTATTGAAAATTAATAAGTTACTGAAAATGCTACTATTATTCAAAGGTTAGAAGAATTTAAAAAAAAAGTATATATTAATAATTGTTCTTAGTGAGAAAACAAGTATAATTCATTTTACAATACCATTTTATTATTTTCAATATCACACTCAAACTTACGTAACATGTCATTAAGATGAAAAATTGATTAATACTTAGGACAATTTGACWTAATGTATAATTACCATAATTTTTCTTAACTACGTATATTTATGATTTATATTATATAAGTTAAACAAGACAGATATATTCATAGAAACAAAAAAACTCGAGTGACGTAAAAGATGAAGTACAAATAAAATATATTGTAATGAATAATAATAATAATAATAATAATAATAAAATAGTACATGTTTTAACAATATAAATGTGTAAGCAAGCACTTACAGAAACACTTTTTAAACTTAAATCGAATAAATATACAAAACCATCGCGGTATTAGTAAAAACAATTTTAAACAATGATAGTAGTTATTTAGTTATTCTTATAAAACTTAGTCAAATATAACAATTTATAATCGTATAAAAATGTTAAATGTTTTTCGTGTACAGAGTTGGTCCTCATATTTTTAGTTTATATGGCTAGAAAAAAATAACATAAATAGTATGATTGTCAAAGGAACCAAACCTAAAATTTGTTATCTCAGCGACGTATCACGACATTAAAATAAATTATCCAAGCGATTTTTTGAATAATAAGGACTGGATTTTAAAAACGATATAAACATACTTTTAAGGGTGCATTTAGATTTTTAAAAATTGTTCAACAATTTTTTTTAACATGTCTTACCAGTTTTCTTTTTGTTACTGAGATAACAAATCTCGGGGTTCTTTTAAAGGTATTAAACAGTACCAACACCAACACCACTGTTAAGTATAGCAAATATAAGGGTGTAGATCCAATTTTAAAAAGACATATTGATTTCAACGTGAGTGCAAATGAACACACATAACATGAGTAAAAATTGTGATTAAAGGAGGTGTTTAATAAGTCTGGTCAATTGTTATTGTTAAAATATGAAGTTTAATTAAAAAAAAAAAAAAAACAATGTGGCAGGCTGAAATTAGTAGGTTATATAAGACACATGTWTTTTTTACACATTGTTACTTTAAAATCATTTAAAATTTTGAAATTTTCACAACTAATAAAAAAAATATATCAAAGGTACATGTGTAATTTTTAGAGGTGACTCATGCCAATTAGGCCATTGGTTGTGGGGTGGAACGGTGGGGCTATTTTTATATGTTTTGTTTGATAGCTTTTTAAGTTGCTAGGGTTGTAACACGTGTTTGTGTATTTGTGGCAAAGATATGTTGCAAGAATTCCACTAGTGGTCACCCRTCCGGGAGTTAAAAACATACGCTGCGTGCATATCCGCAAATTGAGCGTACAACCACGCCTCACCAAGCCACATACATATGTTCTAAGTGACCCACTAAATTCAAATATCATATGTGAGACCACAATGGAAGAATATCCCCACATTTAAAAATATATATCACRGCAGTATTAAACATAACGGAACTCAAATATAATTTAAAATCATTGTGTCTTAAACATAGATTAAATAAATATTAAATTAAACAAAAATAATAAATATTTTTAGATGTTTATTTTAATTTAAGCACAATGAACTGAAATAATAAATTTTAGATACTCTAATATAAATAAAAAGCCTCGACAAATTATTTTCATTCATGCCTACATATTTATTTATTTCAAATATGTTATTACAGATTTTCTTAAATTGAATTTGTGTTCTATAGATGAGAAATTTTGATTTAAAAAMCAATATGTAACATTCTCAAAATATTTAACATCTTAACTTATCTTATTTATAGTTTTCAATGTTCTATACTATTTAACTACTTGATTAAAAATCTTACTTATCAGTCATCTACAATGTATATTCTGTCAMCATTAGCATCACATTCTCACTGTGGTATTATATTGAAAAAGTATCTAAACTGTGATACAAGAGTCAGGTCTAATAAATTAGTGTTCTGTAGCGTTTAAATGGTTGGATTTTGTGATGGGTGGTGTGGTGATTGGTAATATAGTGATATGYGTATAGAATTATTTACGTTTAAATGTAGATATATGTAGATTCCAGAACTTGAGCAGTAAAGACTGTAATATTTGTAAATATTGGGTTTCAACGGACTGTTCTACTGAAAAACCAACAATAAATATATAATAATTTACTAGGATATGTAAAATCAAGCATCATTAATACCTGAATTAAGTAAGCTCGTATGATTCTTCGGATAACCGTGATTAACATTTCTAATATCCATCCCTAGAATTATTGTTCAAGTGATTGCAACAACAGTGATCTTCAGACAGAAATGTAGTTGGTGTTCGTCAGGAGTCACTTGTTACTCTTGTTACCATGAAATCAACTATTGTWAAGGATGTTGATGGAAGCAGTTGTTTTTAAACCATGGCCAAGGTTTAGTTACAGTTACTAATAAGAATATAAATTCAATGATGCATGTTATGATGCGTGTTCACACTCAGACAGTTGGACAAAATTAATCTTCAACCAAAGGCCGATAAAAGATTTTTCATTATCAACGTAAATATACATGTTAAGTGTAGTTGCTTGGGAAGCATAATTTTGAAATCAAAGTCTTGGTAGATTTTGTTTTTAATTGCAGTCCAAATCCATTTTGAAACAATAATTTCTTCTTAAATTCTAATATTAATCATTTTTAATTATTATTATTATTATTTAATTTGATACATTATATCCATTGTATCATTTTATCAATACAGTTTTATATACAAATTACTTATATACATATTGTAAAAGCTCAATAATTGATAAACTAATTACTCGCTGTCCAATGTTTATCCACCATGTTCTTCTTGCTTCTCAAATAGGACAAAATTTAAATTCCATGATGGAAACATGTTTAATTTATATTTACAGTCGTCTAGAAAGTAGTGAAGTTTACGCCACCGCAGCTCAGGGGCATGATTGGTGATTTTCAACGAATTCACCAAATTAAATATTTTTATTTCATTGATTTTCTTTATCGATGAATTCAACTTTAATAAAGTGGTTTAATGCGGTTTATAGTTAATCAAACGTCAAGAGAGGTAACCACATGCCTGTTTTATTTGATGACGACGGATCTCCAGAAGTTTTGGCATTCACGTGCAGTACGTCTATTCACCARCCAAACAAAAAAACGATTAATTGTGTACATAAAATTAATTTACATTTGTATTTCAGTGTCARTACAAAAAATGTATTTAATAAATTAAGTTTTTTTACCTTCTAGCACTGTCCACCATGGACAAGCTACTGCAGTAAATGCGACGCTCAATGCAGGTGGAGGTGGAGGAGGTTCAAGTGGCTGAGGTCGGAATTGTGGTAGCGGTAGTGGCCGATTGAATTGCTGTTGATGACCAATGAGTTCCTGTCTTGATTGATGATGTAGTTGACGGTTTGTAAAGACAGGTGTCAGTGATTGTGCATCACAAAAATGTAAATAATTATCGTGTACTATCCTTGACGGTATAGCTACTATAGTACATAAAATATATWAACATAGGTATATTTTTAACTAACAATGTATTTATTATTTTAACTGATTGTTATAATTTACAGTGATAACGCAATACTTACAGTTTTGATGTGATTGTTTACGCCTCATATCAGTGGCCATAATCTCGGTGGTCCATTCAACCATATCATCATCTTCCTGTTCTAATGATGAGTCACTCTCAAAGTCATATTTGTCCCAATCAGCTACAGGGTCACCAGCATTTCCAAATTGTGACCATTCTCGGTCAGGGTCTTGGCCAAAAGCCGCGGCAGCAGCAAGCATGCCAATAAATTCACCATCACTATCTTGTTCATCAGAGTTGTATTCACCATGGTCAGAGTTTGATCCCGAACCTGAACCGTCACTATTCTCATCATCAGTAATGGTACAGCCATTTCCACCAGCACTAGAACTTCGATGGCGATCTACGATTGAAGTAGTCTTTTCACTTGGCTTTCGTTTTATATTCCTATACCGTCTTCTACGTCGCTTGTTTTTAGTTCGTGTCCACCAGCCACCAGGATTCTTGTGCACGTACTGTACAAAACCCGATGCGGCCGCTTCTGCAGCACAATAATAAGGTATAGGTGGGGGTGGTAGCAATTGAGGTTTTTGCAGATTTCGATATTGTTGAGCAAGGCTACCACCACACTGATCCAACCCATCGCTCTCAGACCAGGCCCGATGTGGATGCTGCATTCTTCCAGATCTGCCTGGCGTCAATGCGATCGACGATAATCCTTTTACACTTCCATAACTATTCGGTTTTTGTTGTAATCGGTGTTTGTAGACATACTGTTTTTTTCGCCAACTTTTCTTTCCACACACGCTGTTGTAATTATTGATCTCGTGCTGTTGTTGATAGTTTTGGTGATATTGCTCTATACGGCGGTCATCGTCATCCATTTGGTCAAAAACAGAAGTCGAGCATGGGTCACTGAGTCGTCTCTATTGTTTAAATWATTCAAACAGATAATATCAATATAAGTAATTAAAAATGTAAACGAATAAAGAATGGTTCAATCAGTAATTAATGAGAATTACCTGCATTATAAAAATGTTTAAATATAAATTATCTAGGTAATTAATTCTGGCTTTACAATAAATCTGTAGTGTAAAAAACAATCATTGATATTTTTTTATTTAATACTTTAAATGTTTATCAACAATAATGTTTCAAATGTGGTGGACTAAATTAGGTTTGGCCACCTAACCTACATAAGTTTATTTGGGTTATATTATAACTAGAGCCCGGAATTATATTCTTTTGCATATCTTTTTTGAGTCTATGCAGTCAGACGGGGGTCCGAAATCTTTACGAATCATGAAACAGGTGTAATAATGGCAAAAGTTTTTTTTGCATATTTGAGAATATTTCAAGATAAAAGAATATTTCGTATNTTGAAAAAGTATCTAAACTGTGATACAAGAGTCAGGTCTAATAAATTAGTGTTCTGTAGCGTTTAAATGGTTGGATTTTGTGATGGGTGGTGTGGTGATTGGTAATATAGTGATATGYGTATAGAATTATTTACGTTTAAATGTAGATATATGTAGATTCCAGAACTTGAGCAGTAAAGACTGTAATATTTGTAAATATTGGGTTTCAACGGACTGTTCTACTGAAAAACCAACAATAAATATATAATAATTTACTAGGATATGTAAAATCAAGCATCATTAATACCTGAATTAAGTAAGCTCGTATGATTCTTCGGATAACCGTGATTAACATTTCTAATATCCATCCCTAGAATTATTGTTCAAGTGATTGCAACAACAGTGATCTTCAGACAGAAATGTAGTTGGTGTTCGTCAGGAGTCACTTGTTACTCTTGTTACCATGAAATCAACTATTGTWAAGGATGTTGATGGAAGCAGTTGTTTTTAAACCATGGCCAAGGTTTAGTTACAGTTACTAATAAGAATATAAATTCAATGATGCATGTTATGATGCGTGTTCACACTCAGACAGTTGGACAAAATTAATCTTCAACCAAAGGCCGATAAAAGATTTTTCATTATCAACGTAAATATACATGTTAAGTGTAGTTGCTTGGGAAGCATAATTTTGAAATCAAAGTCTTGGTAGATTTTGTTTTTAATTGCAGTCCAAATCCATTTTGAAACAATAATTTCTTCTTAAATTCTAATATTAATCATTTTTAATTATTATTATTATTATTTAATTTGATACATTATATCCATTGTATCATTTTATCAATACAGTTTTATATACAAATTACTTATATACATATTGTAAAAGCTCAATAATTGATAAACTAATTACTCGCTGTCCAATGTTTATCCACCATGTTCTTCTTGCTTCTCAAATAGGACAAAATTTAAATTCCATGATGGAAACATGTTTAATTTATATTTACAGTCGTCTAGAAAGTAGTGAAGTTTACGCCACCGCAGCTCAGGGGCATGATTGGTGATTTTCAACGAATTCACCAAATTAAATATTTTTATTTCATTGATTTTCTTTATCGATGAATTCAACTTTAATAAAGTGGTTTAATGCGGTTTATAGTTAATCAAACGTCAAGAGAGGTAACCACATGCCTGTTTTATTTGATGACGACGGATCTCCAGAAGTTTTGGCATTCACGTGCAGTACGTCTATTCACCARCCAAACAAAAAAACGATTAATTGTGTACATAAAATTAATTTACATTTGTATTTCAGTGTCARTACAAAAAATGTATTTAATAAATTAAGTTTTTTTACCTTCTAGCACTGTCCACCATGGACAAGCTACTGCAGTAAATGCGACGCTCAATGCAGGTGGAGGTGGAGGAGGTTCAAGTGGCTGAGGTCGGAATTGTGGTAGCGGTAGTGGCCGATTGAATTGCTGTTGATGACCAATGAGTTCCTGTCTTGATTGATGATGTAGTTGACGGTTTGTAAAGACAGGTGTCAGTGATTGTGCATCACAAAAATGTAAATAATTATCGTGTACTATCCTTGACGGTATAGCTACTATAGTACATAAAATATATWAACATAGGTATATTTTTAACTAACAATGTATTTATTATTTTAACTGATTGTTATAATTTACAGTGATAACGCAATACTTACAGTTTTGATGTGATTGTTTACGCCTCATATCAGTGGCCATAATCTCGGTGGTCCATTCAACCATATCATCATCTTCCTGTTCTAATGATGAGTCACTCTCAAAGTCATATTTGTCCCAATCAGCTACAGGGTCACCAGCATTTCCAAATTGTGACCATTCTCGGTCAGGGTCTTGGCCAAAAGCCGCGGCAGCAGCAAGCATGCCAATAAATTCACCATCACTATCTTGTTCATCAGAGTTGTATTCACCATGGTCAGAGTTTGATCCCGAACCTGAACCGTCACTATTCTCATCATCAGTAATGGTACAGCCATTTCCACCAGCACTAGAACTTCGATGGCGATCTACGATTGAAGTAGTCTTTTCACTTGGCTTTCGTTTTATATTCCTATACCGTCTTCTACGTCGCTTGTTTTTAGTTCGTGTCCACCAGCCACCAGGATTCTTGTGCACGTACTGTACAAAACCCGATGCGGCCGCTTCTGCAGCACAATAATAAGGTATAGGTGGGGGTGGTAGCAATTGAGGTTTTTGCAGATTTCGATATTGTTGAGCAAGGCTACCACCACACTGATCCAACCCATCGCTCTCAGACCAGGCCCGATGTGGATGCTGCATTCTTCCAGATCTGCCTGGCGTCAATGCGATCGACGATAATCCTTTTACACTTCCATAACTATTCGGTTTTTGTTGTAATCGGTGTTTGTAGACATACTGTTTTTTTCGCCAACTTTTCTTTCCACACACGCTGTTGTAATTATTGATCTCGTGCTGTTGTTGATAGTTTTGGTGATATTGCTCTATACGGCGGTCATCGTCATCCATTTGGTCAAAAACAGAAGTCGAGCATGGGTCACTGAGTCGTCTCTATTGTTTAAATWATTCAAACAGATAATATCAATATAAGTAATTAAAAATGTAAACGAATAAAGAATGGTTCAATCAGTAATTAATGAGAATTACCTGCATTATAAAAATGTTTAAATATAAATTATCTAGGTAATTAATTCTGGCTTTACAATAAATCTGTAGTGTAAAAAACAATCATTGATATTTTTTTATTTAATACTTTAAATGTTTATCAACAATAATGTTTCAAATGTGGTGGACTAAATTAGGTTTGGCCACCTAACCTACATAAGTTTATTTGGGTTATATTATAACTGTTAGTAAAATTCATAAAATAGATTCGTACCAATAATATAATGAGTATTCGGTTTTATTTTAAATTTATAGCCCAGCCACATATAAGCAACACAGGTTAAATATACAAACAAGTTTAGGCTAAAACTTAATTAAGGRTTAATTTATGTTGATATAATTTTGACATTATTAAGGCTAATGTTTTTATWGATTATTTGTATGTAATTATGAATTGTTTAGGAAATATATAACGTTCCAAAATCATATTACCGATAAAATTATTTTTTAGAGGTATCTTAAGAACTATTAAATTGTATAAATTATATTATTTTTATTATTATTATCGTAGTGGAATTACTTGTTTAAGATGACCTTTTAATGGATAGCTATACTAAATATTTCTAGTAAATCTGRTATAAAATATWAAATACCATTTTAAATCAAAACAAGTAACGAGACTTATGAAAACTAAATATATTTCTACATTTTAATAGATTCCATTTCAGAAGTTCCAGTGAAAAATTGAATAACGAAGGATGTATTACCGGTCTGCCATCTTTGCGTCGTTGACGCTCAAGTTGTTGCTGCTGTTGCTGTTGATAATAATAAGATGGTGTCTGAGGTGTCTGTTGCTCGCTACTGGTTGCTGTTTCATAGTCCCACCCATAATCATAGAAGTCACCGGGTTCAGAAGCAGTGGTCGTTCTAGTGTAGGGCTCGAGCTGCTGTTTTTGGTAACCAATCTCTGGGGCGTAATCATTATTAGTGTGGTCATAATAAGCGCTGGTGGTAATATCAGGGTCATGATCGTATCCAGCGTCTCCGTAATCGTCCTCTTCTCCACGGCAGTACTGTTGGYGATGGAGATGGTGATAGTGATGATGGTGGTGATGGACGTGGTATTCTGAATTACCATCGACATCCGAAGTAGTKATTGCCTCCACTCTCTGTATTGGTGCTATTAAAGAATTAATTTAATGAWATCCGTTCGATAAGCAGACATCTAACGTGAATTCTATTGTTTGTAAGAATAATGTATTTAATTTTACCATCAATATTATTACTATCATCATAATCATTATTGTAATATAAAGCTTTTAATGAAACTATTCTATCTTATAAAAATCATAACGTTAAAACCTTGCACTTAGTTTATTCAACATGATATCGTGACGAGGTAGAAGTAAAAAAATKTTGATATAATTATCTAAAAATCAATGATTAAATACATGTAGAATTATAAATAATTTATTAATATTCACAACAAACGTCATAACTGGACTTATATATGTATCCCTTACGGACCATACAGTACCTACCATCCGTTGAATAATCTATAATGCTTCTAAACCAAATAAATTTTGTCTAAAATTATTATTTAAACTAAATAATATAATATCAATACTTTTAATTACGAGAAAAAATAATTATTCTAATAAAAATAATTATTTTATAAAATATTTCCAAATAAGTTTGTTACAAATGGTGTAAGAACTGTTAAAACTCTGCTTGTGATTAAAATAAAAATACAATTAAAGTCCTATTTTTGAGACGAAGCAGCAATAATGATAATCAAATGCAACTTTAACRATATTATTAAGTATATTTTTAATAAATATCAATTGGTAGAATAACAAAAAGTACATACAAATGAGCATAAATAACCTACCGTTCATGCACGAAACGTCTAGACGGTGACATGAACGGTTGACTATGAYACTCGACGGTTTATAAWATATAAATAATAATCACGATAACAATAGTGATGATAATGATAATAATAATCACAAATACAGACGTAACTCTCTGATAGGTTCTTGTTAAAAAAAAAAGGGTTTATATTTACCGAGCGTGACTGCCATCTGTGCCAGACCCTTCGTGTAGTCGTAGGGGTCGTCCCCGTCGCCACTGACGTCGCCGTAGTCTAAATCGTCGCCGTCTCGGTTTTCATCGTCCGATGATAATTCACTATCGTCGCTATCGTCATTATGATAACTTGGCCGGCAACCACGCACTGTCACGTACTCGATACGATCGGCGTCCGCGACAGTAGCATTGGTGGAAGAGGTAGAACCGTAATAATAACCGTTATCTCCACAGTCTGACGACGTGGCAGAGTCTTTTCCACCCACGAACARAGCTGTCAGTGATGCGGATAGGGCAGCGCCCAGAGAAGATTTCTTGCCAATCCGTTTCCGTTGCTGTTGCCGCCGACGTTTCCTTCGTTGGCGTTGTGCTTCACGGTACAAGCTCATCTGTAAATATTCAATAGACATTAAGTATTAAACAACGGGTGTCGTAACAGCGTATTAAAYTTGATRGTGATTCGATAATAATATTGAAATTGGAAATAAATGATTACCAAAACTGGTGTTGAAAATAACAAAAATTTTATCATAGAAACGAATTTTTATCTTTAAATAAAAACTTTGAACTTTGCCTATTACAATGAGTAATGACTTAAGTTTAATTCTTCTGATAAGAATATTGAACAAGTTCAGAACTTACAGCAAGTATTTGAAATTATTCATCAATGACGAAAAATCGAACAGAGATTCAGGCTTAAATTATTATTATTTATTATACATACATATCATGTATATCGAGTACATATTATATGAGGATACACCTTCTGTTTGGATAATAGTCTATACATATCAATTATATACATTTTCCCTATTATTAATTTATTTTCACATTGAATTAGTCGAATTAGGTTCGTTCTTCAAATTAGATTCTGTCATATTCAATATATTTTGTATTCTATATTATATAAGGACGTTGAACACTTGAGAGAATATTTCACACGTCGTGTTTATCAGTTTTATAGAAAAATATTGGCARCAATTTAAGAAAAATGAAAATGAAACGATATAAGGACATTTTTACACTAATAATAAAGGTTTAATGGTAAGTCATAATCTAATCACCTTGCACTCGTATGTTGCTCGCACCGCGGCGTAGGGGACGGCACCAGTGAACAGAACCGCTCTGTTTAGATTCTGTTGTATTTTGACGGGCACTGATTTATGACGACCGAATAAATTGCTGTTGCTACCATCCATATCGTACTCGTTATCGTTGTCGTCTTCAATGTCATTATTGAGGTATTCCTCGATTACTGTCGCCGGCCCCGGCCAAGCGGCCACCAGCTCGGCGCACACTGTCTGTCCGGGACGTACAAYTACCGTYCGGAAGGCCTATGTTGAGATGTGACATTATTCAAAATTATTAGTAACAATTAAAAACYATACGTCTTTAATAATAATACAAATCATAAAAGTATGCACTTGGTAATAATTGGCAACAAAATGCAATTAATGTAATCTGAGATCACTAAAACAATTTGTATTCAAATTACAAAATATYTAACGKAAAATTGAATACAATATAATAAAATAAGTAATCCACATAGCTCTTGYTTAACCAACTTGTCAATTGTCAAYGATATTGGTGTTAAATGATAAAATAGTTGGAWAAAATATTAAATTCATTCGATTATTATAAAATATTATAGACCGTTTTATTCTATTGATGCTTTGTTTTGATTTTTGAGGAATGAAAAAATAATTTACTAATTTTTATAATTTACCTGCAATATATCAATGAATTATAAAAATAGTTTTTTTWAAAATCGTTTTTATTGTTTTAACGAACAATYATTTAGATAGAAATCGGAAATAATATTGACCGAGTTAGAAACGTACTAACGTAATATGTTTATGTTCAAAACAAAAATATAAGCAAGTTGTAAAATTAAATATTTACAGTTGTGCGTTATCATACCCCTATAGTTTCATTAGTATCGATGACAAAAATAAACGCTTCAAAATATTACTTTACACAATAAGTTATAAGTTATAACATAGTACCTACCTCGGCGAAATCGTCAACGGCCCAGCACACAGCGGGGTATACYGGTCGCTCTCTAGGTCCTTTCGCTGCGTCCATACGCCGACCACTAGTGGATGCGTACACTGTCTACTCATTTAAACATCGTGACCAAAAGCAAAAAAAGAAAATAATCAACAAGGACAAAAATTAATTAAGAAATAAGTTTATAAATTGCCGTCAAAATCACGCAGAAAGYCAGAGAGACRTCAAACTCACGTGTACGTGGCGCGACAGCAACTGCAGGTCAAATTCACAATCTYCTTGCCCGTCGGCTGATAAGAATGCTTTCGACCCGTCATAACTACTGAAACAGGAAGAGGCAGCTGCCTTTCTGGGCACACGCGTACACACGGCCACTGTGAGCGTGTACCTCAGCCGATGAACGATGGCGTTCAGGCACACCGTGTGCCGCCACAAGACGGCCGGATCGCCGATCGGCAACATAGTCGGCTTTTGCTGCTGTTGTTGCTGCTGCTGTTGGTTATGCTGTTGTTTACGGTAAGCACGGGTGTCGTAAGTAACCTATACRCCAAGGAACATGGGTAAAAAAAATTGAAAGTATTACCTACCAATACACATCGAACTGCGAGCGAGCTCTTTTAAAGGCTATAACATTACACTAAGTAGCCTTTGTTCCCATGATCCCTATTATTATTATTATTATTATTAATAATGACAATAGTAAAGCAATTAAAAATGTATAAAGTTTTTGAGTTGAAAGAACACAAAGAAGTTTTTTGATGACAGTTATATGCATATACATATAAGATTTGAATACCTACTTCAAAGATAAATTATTAAGGCGAAAACACTATCAAAAATGTATATGACGGAATGAGTTCAAGAATATTATGAAACTTGTGATTATTTTAGTTTGTTGTTAAGATAACATTTTAGCGCTGATCTTTATGAATCTTTTCAAATTACAACTTTAGGTACCATAATTAATGTGATGGTCAATTTTTAATAATCTATCATGGACTCTAAATAMAATTATAACATACTTATACAATTTTACTTTGGAATTCGAAATAATAAAATAGAATATATGGATGGGTATTTGGTACAAGTGTATGCATCCTTACCAGTCGCCGACGTTGGGAGGACAGCCGGCGTTTAATGCACTTGCGCTTATTTCGACGGCGCCGCACAAAAAACAACAAGTCATCTGAGTCTGCCGTGGTGGCGGTTTTCGTGCAGTCCTCGTCGAACACAAAATATCGGAGGAACACGTCGGTCCACCAGTATGCCGAYGCCGCCTCATCATCGAGCTCAGATCCGGTGGCTGTTACTCCAGCTTTAGTCACTGTTCCTTCTAAAATGTTATATGTACCACATGCRTTATACAAGACGAATTAATGAAAGGAAATGAACATTGAACATATTAACTTATAACATTTAATTATAAACGCGTAAACCAGACAAACCCATAATAATGAATGTTTACAGTTTGGCAAATTGTCTACAATTATACTGTAATTTTGTAATCTTATTTTTTTTTTAATACCCCTCCGCACATTTTTTACACCGAAGTTTATACTTATTATGTTACGATACGAACTAAAAGTGAATTAATAGCTGTTATTTGTTGAATGTAATATTATTAGCAAACAAAAAACGATAATCGATGTCCATTTTGGTATGTCTACTCGCATAGATAACCAGATACCGACATTCAAATGTAAAAAAGAAACAAAAGAGATCACCGTTAAATTGCTTTTAAGTTCTAATTTGTGAAAAAGGCAGGAAATTACAGAATAATTATGACTGTATTTCGTACTTCCAAAATTTGTATAATTATAATAGTTGCTTTTTTTTTTTACTGCTTACTAAGTGTAAAATCGAAAACAAMCCTTGGTTGTTTTTACTTTTTATATGATATAATAACAATATTATTTAAAAGTTTCATTCATTCATTCAATATTCTGATTGACTCTTACTCAAAGGTATTAAGCAATGTTATAAGTATAGATTAGCGGTTATCGACCTTCTTGTAGTGGCGACCTAAGATATTTACTCGATTTTTCATGCGACCTTTATATAAATAATWTTCAGTAATATTCAATGAGGGAATAAAAAATAACCGAACCATTTAACATTATTGGAGACYCAAAATTGGGTAGCGACCCTATGGTTGAGAACCGGTATAGATTTCACGATATTCCATTACGTCTAAATGCCCAATAATATTGTACCGACTCTGTTGATCATCATCTAGCAAGTCTGGTATGGATCACCAAATATTATTTCTTCCCCCTCCCCAATTAATTGGTTAGCGAGTAAATTAATGGGTGGAATACCCATAGTATATGATATATGTTATTAATACATATATTATTATATTATGTAAAACATTTACCCATGGCCGAAGTTGCAGCTTCACGTTGACCGTCTTCACGACGTCGTTGACTCTGCCGGCTAGCTGCGGCSACGCGTTGCCGTTCTCTCTGCCGCTGGAACGCGATGTCCGCCAGCAGACGGTCAACGGACGAAAAAGTGGTAGTGGCTGTGGTGCGCTGACTGCCAGCGCCGTCCACGTGCAAGGCAGACGGTCGCCGTCGGGTGGACCCGGGTGACGTGGACGCCTGCATAGCGACGTCCGGGTGGTCGTTGCAGTCGACGCGAGTAGTATTGTTGACGGTCTGTGCTGTCTTGTCAGCAGGTAGTGATGGTGATTTGCGGTGGTTGTGGTAATATTATTGGCAATTACGGTTGGTGACGATATTGCTGTAAACCGTCACGGATGGTGATATTATGGCGGCGACTGGTTGTCGCGTACTTGGATGTTGGTAATGGTGGTAGTGGCGTCGAGTTGTCGCTACCACTGCTGCTACTGCCGCTGCCGCCGCCACCGCCGTAATATCTAATGTACGTAGGAATGCTTTGTTATATTATATTATTTTATAGGTATTTTCGATGTCGACATTCCGACCAAGCGGAAGTTCCAGCAAACCATGCAAACATAATGCAATATAAAATAAACCACAAATACGTATAAATATTTCCCACCAAAGTCGGTTCATTCGCTTTTAAATAAAAAAATTAAAAGTATAAAAAATTAGATATGATCCATTGCGGACCAAGAGAAAAAAATTAAAATATTTTATATAGGGCTAGGATTTATATGCATTGGTTCTTTTTTGAAGAGTTCTTTTACAAATTAAGTTAGTCATGTCCACGATACGCACGGGAAATTGTGATATTAACTATCCATTCATTACTCTCCATATTTTTGCATAATATACTAAGAATAAATGCATAACAATGAATATTCCATTGCCTTGTTTTAATTAGATGTGTAAACACGAAAAGTACATRTTTCGTGACATTATTGGTATATATTTAAACGAATATTGATTAAAAGATGCTTCACTTTCAATTAATAATTGTTTGGAATCTATTGAACATTACTCATTTATTTCCATATTCTAATATTTTGTATTGCATATACGTCCCAGCCCTCATTATAACAATTGTTATAAAATACAGCTAATCAAAAACGAGCATTCGTTACCAGCGGTGGCCTGGGAACAGATTACTTGGTTGGCTAAATGAAAAAGTTAGGTACAATTAGGAAGATTTGGGGCTTTGAACAAATTTTTTCAATCAATTTGAAGCGGGCTCGGTCGGCGATCGCCACCTTGCCAACTTGGCCAGGCCACCACTGCTCGTTACAACAAATACAATTKATGGTATAAAATAATTAAATAGCAGACAAATAAAAAAAAAAATAGAATAAAAAAATAGTATTGTTATAAAGTTATGCTTGTGTATATTATAATAACAGTGGATTGTATAATGTGTGTTGARAAACGCAAATGGAATGTGCGTGAAATATTGAAAACATTCGATTATATAAATGATTCTAACGGCATCTTATATATACGTAGGTATCAATAATTTAAATCTAATGATCATGATATTATAGTCATAATTTTTCTTAGTGAGATATATAATTAGTGGTGTATTATATAATTAACAATCATTAACGTGCATGTAATAACACCATTGCTCACTGAAAACATTATGTAAATTACGTGTGTAATTTTAATTAATACGCACCTATCATAATATGTGTCGGAAATAATTTGGTTATACATTTTGAATTATCTTTCATCGTTTCCAAATAAATTGAACTGTAGATTGTAGATAATTGTAGATTTTTTTTTAAAATTATTGTTATTRAAATCATTAAAAAAAAAAGAAAAGATTTTTATCGAAAAATCCTACGAAATGTAAAATGCTTTATTTTAATAGAAAACAAAATATTGATTTTGATAACATTTTATTTAATTATTTATAAACACAATAATCATAATATTTATACCTAAATTTCGATACTAGAATAGTTTAAAACTATTTAAGAAATGCACATGACCCGTTTAAAAATACGATAATATTAAACTAGTATAATTTATGTATTACTACCTAGTACTTAGTACCTACATAYAACAGACAACTTAAATTCTGAAAATGTATGCACTGGATTGTATTTATACAATAACCTAATAATATACTAATAACTAGAAATAGACTATATCCAATTTATTAATTTTAGCACAATAAACTTAGTATTGATCCAATTCAAATAAATGTCAAATTTTAATATTCCAGTAATATATTGATTCAATAAAATAACATCGTAAAATAACTTATCATTAATAATTTTTTTTTAAATTAAAAAGTTTTCCAAACTAATAAAGAAATAAAATGTGTTAATATTCTAACATATTATTTTATATTTATATACATAATGGATACCTAGTAATTATAAGTATAACTACCTATTGAGTATACATTAAAATTGGGTTTAGATAGGTATAATATGAAAAGTAAATATTTGTTTAGTTGCTTAAAATCAACTAGGTAATAATTTACGATGTAGTTTTTGATAAATGTATGTACAAGATTACAATTTATATTGCTGTAATGGAATTTATATTTAAAAAATGTATATAATATATTAATATCGTATGTACAGTATATTATTTTAGTATTTTTCAAACTAACTTATACTTTGTTTAAAATTCAGTGGTACAATTACAGGTCTTATAGGTAAATCTTAAAAATGTATACAAAGTAGATAAAAACACAGATATGATAAATTTAAATATTTTAATACAAGATCTTAACAAATACATAAAGATTTGAGGTTTAGAAACAAGGAAAATTAGTAATCATTCTCTCTAACAATTGTAGTTTAGTTTCTCAACATTTAAAAAAATTAAGCGCCCAAAGTTAATCATATAAATGAGAATAACGATACAAAACAATCATATAATAATATGTAAACATTGWATTATCAAAAATTTATATTATTTATATATACAATTTATATTATAAACAACTTATAAAACATTGTATTATAAAAATAAGTAACGACTAATGTTTAAATATGTAAATATATGCAAAACAAAGTGTTTGAGTTAAATTCTTATAGAAATTTGATTGAAATAATATTATTCATATTTATTGAAAATTTGGTCACCTAATAATTTAATATACCAGACCAACTAGATATATTTTTTTTTTTACAAAGACCTAACACAATATAATATAAAATTTTCATAAATTTGTCCGTTATGATATTGAATAATTATTGGACGAACTGCAGACGACGAGACTTCGAATAACACAATTATTATAATTGTATTATAATAATATAATATATTATAATATCTGTGCAAATACCAATCGGACGACTAAATAAATAGTAATAAACTATAAAGGTGGTAATCGACGTAGTAAAAATTGTTGTGAGATAAAATTCAAGCGTAAAATATTGTGATGAATAAAAAGGTACGCCGAGTTGGTGTTTACTTCCGATTTTCGCCGCCGTCTTCCGGTCGCACACACACGCGTACGCGCGTGCACTACACACTACACATACACAAACGCAACCCCGATCGATAGAATAATATTATATTGCGGCGACGACAAATTAAAACAATAAAATAAAACAGTAGTTGTGGAGATGATAACAGTTATAATTATTATGATTCTCGACCATCAAGCAGCTACCTATTAGGTACTTACCTATTACAGTCGTGCTAGTACGATGTCCGTGTGCCAATAAGAAATAAAGATTATTATTATTATATTGTGATTTGTAAACAATAAATTATATCGACATATTATTCCGACACACACTTCGCACTTACAAACACCAGTAACACGTGTATTGCAAATTGCAACAACGCAATTATTTTATTATTTACGTAAAACACGTGATTTTTAGACGCACAACACCAAACAAGCAACGGCCGACATTCTACGAGGAGGCACGTCGTCTACTGCAGCCGCCAGTCGGACGTACGTCCGTACTATTTGATAACAGAATAGACCTCCGCGGCGGCGGCGAAATATCGATCGGGCAAGCTGCCGCCGCTACGCGAGGGTGGTGCTTACGAGTCACGCGACATTCGTGATAAAAAAATAATAATAATATTATTATCATGTAGAATAGATGAGCTATATATGTATTCGACCATCAATAGTGTTCCACAGATGGCGCGAACAYAATATTGAGAATCGTATATTATGCTATTATCATACAATCAAATTAATAAATTATTATTATTTAATAATAAAGCATAATATAAATTGTGATTATGGCAATATGATATTATGATATTTCTAAAAATTCATGCGATCATAGTACCTATAGTTGAAAATTAAAATAATAATTTTATCCATACCTCGAATAGTATATAAAACCTGACTGACAGTGTTAATACACACTGCGCTAGCACTTTTTWAAAAAATGTACACATTATTATTTACATTAATTAATATTATATAAAAATGAAAAAGACATTTCAATCCATGGTTGGAAACCGCACAAAGTTGACGTATCCAACGGACAACGAGTTCAAAAATAATAGAAATAGCGTAGAGCCATAATATACATCTTTTTTGAGAGAGAGTTTGAAATTCAAATTATGACGCTATTAGTCACACATCAAACAAAGATTCCTCCTTGACCAACTTTTGTTTGGTATTTTATAGAAATTTAAAAAATATTAATAGTTTATTCTATTATTAATTAAATAATTATTTTCTATACTTATAGAATTTTCAAGATATTGGACTAATTTCAAGTAATAATTAAGTTGAACATTTTTGAATTTTTATTTTTAATTGTTTGTCAACATGTTTTTAAATGCTGTACATCATCGTTCATAAGTTGTTGTAATYGAAATTTAAAAAACACCGAAAATTTACACGCACAATTTTATTTCATAAGAGTTTTAAGTGTGAATTTTAAGGAAATACCGTAAATATTCATGAAAGTATTCAATATACGAGATTTTGTAGTTTAAAATTACATTTTAAATTGTTGCAAATAGCTGAGTAGTCTTGGCATTTTATTACAAGGTTCCTAATAAGTTATTTTTTTTACAGAAGCCTAAGAATGTATGTATGTACCTACAATATTTTTTTTATAATTATTCCAAGTTYAAAATAATGTCAACGAAATTGTATATTATTTAATAGAAAAATAACGATTTTGTTTAATTTTGTTGTAATTCATTTAAACATTTAATATTATCCATAAGTATTTTTAATTTTTGGCCACTACCTATATATTATTATTATTTAATAAACGCAATGATCTTTTTAAACTATTTATGTTAATTTTAAGCTATTTATACGATACAAATCTATTAGCAATTATTTATACAGTTCATCGCTATAGGTTATTCACTGCATACTAATAATTGAGTAAGGTAATAAGTTAATAACAGTTTGTAATACTATATGAAATAATAGATGTAAATATATAATAATAATTTATTATCTAGTAATAAATGCAATGATTTGACGACAATGAGTAAACCATATATAGGTACTAAAATAAAATATATAAATTAGATACTAACAGCAATGTATATTTTTAAAGTAAAAATATATTTAAAAACTATAGAACGATTTTTCTCTATTTTTTTTTCTAATCTCTACAATAATTCATTATTTATTTCAAATTTAACACGTATTCAAAGTATATTAAAGTGATCTTCTTTATGATGACATCATGTTAACACGTGATACTTTTTCAGCATTGCAAAATGTTTAATGTTTGTAATTTACGCCCCAGTTTTTAAATTAAGCGTGATTATTTATGCATTTTTTCTCGCTTCAAAATACATTTAATAGTGCTTTACTTGTATTACTTATTCCTATTTATTCATTTTCATTTTTCGGGGTGGAAGTCATAATATAAACATATAATAAATTTATTTATTCTACCTGTTTGGAACTATTATACTCAAAAATATAAAAATAATATTGGTTGAACATTTTAAGCAAAATAACGGTTTACATAACGAAAATTAGTATTGCGAAAATAAGGTACTAGTCCCAATATAAAAATGATAATAAAAGTTTTAAAAACATAGGTTTTCTGCATATTAAACAGAGACATAGTAAACAGTATAATGTAGGTATACAAACTATAAATTATGTATAGGTTGGCACTATAATATTATTTACGTATTAACGATTATATAATATAATCACAAAATGTGCTAGTTAGAAAACAGCATTACGATATATTAATTTTTAAATCGTGTGGTTTATATATTATTTATGATAGTCGCAAACWAAATAATTGAAAATATATTTGAATAATCAAAAAAATATATGAAAATAATTATGTACTATTTACTGTTTTGTTTCTAAGTATGGAAAATATGTTATACAAATATTTAACCAACGTTATCAGAACACTAAACATATTTTATATTAATTTCAATGAATTAAATTAAATAAACTAGTAATATTTAATATATTATTATAGGTATTAATAATTACCTATTAGTAGATAATGGCATTTGAGACATTTTAAGACTGCAATGTACATAAAAGCAGTTTAATAAATAAAATATATTTAAAAAGATTGTTAATATTAGGGTACCTAGTTTTTAATTAGTTGTAAATTAATGCAAAGTAARTACAGAATAGAAACTATTCAGTAAAAAAATGTTTACTATTATTTTATTTGATATAATTTGTTTACAGCTCTGAATCCATGCATATATTTTATATACAATAAGACATAAGTAAATTTAAGAATAGGTACTTCTTTAGGTGTTTATATGACGTGAATGAATGATTTTAGGATATATATTCATCAATAAATGTTAATGACGCGTTGTTAATAAAGTTAATACTGTTATTAGCTTATCAAATTAAATTTCAACTTAGGAATATCATGAAACGAATAAACGATAATAATGATAATATAGGTAMTATATAGATCATCGTATATCAGCGTACTTAGTTTAAAATCGAATCCAATTAAAAATCTGATTGAACAGTGTTTTATTATATCACGCTCCATTTATGTGACTAAAATAATATTATAAAACCTATATTTTTCTTAAATAATTTTATTTAGTGTAAAATTAATGTTGAATTTTCGTTTATATAATATCTAAATAAGGATTTTTTACATTTTTATATTTTTTAAATAGCAGCGCGTTTAGGGTCAATTGAAAGAATGTTAAAGTATTTTATTGTTAACCTTAAGTTAATTAAGGAATTAACGTCAATGATTAGTCAAACGATTTTTGATTTTGTTTTTAYTACGATAAGTACAACTTATAATATAATAAACCTTGTATTAAATTTTAAAGATTTTTGGATACAAGAAAAAAATTTATGACAATAACTCAGCTGTAGTTATCCGCCACCTATAGGTTATAGTGAGGACRACAATCGGAAATATCGTTAGTGCTTAGGTACTGCTTACTACTTATATCGTTAAAMTAGAAAATTTAGAATCAGTATATATTAATACATTATAAATTAAATATAGGTATATTGTGTAGTATACATTTTATAGGACACAATGTGCATAATACTTATTATACACTAACGTAGATACTAGATAGTATTTTAGTGGAAATGTTAACATAATATTATGGGCCACGATGACGTTAGAATATAGGCTATAACAATAACAGTTCCTATTACAAACAGGGACGTGCCTAAAACTTCAATAATTACATACAAATATTAAGCAATACTCTTYTACTTAATTTGTTAAAATTTAACCCTAAAAACCCCCCTTAGGCATGTCCCTGACTACAAATGTCCTAGAATCAGAATAAATGATGATATTATGATAATATTATGTTCTGGTTTCAAATTGTTATTACCTACGTACGTCAATAGACATGAAAATAAACTATGAAACTGGGGATTACCTAACCCGATTAATAAGTGTTTTTTACAATTATTAAAACCATRAATGACACAAAAGATTATTTTGAAATGTAACGTCTTAACCGAATTAGTTTTTCTTTAAATAGCAGTTTATAGTTTTYTTCATTTATTATCTTCGTTTATTATAAAATGTTCTATATAATAAATTTAATATCATATAGGACATATAGGTATTATATTAAAATTGGTGTACCTATTAAATTATAATATTATCATACATATAATAGGTACGAGCTTATTTTTTTAATTTCAGCTTTAACATTTTCAAAAAACTTTATATCATTATTATTTAATTTAAATAGTTATGGTCTATAGTTGTACATCGTTACTTAAGGGGATCGCATCACACGTATTTTTTGTACTACCTACGTTTTAGACCAATAAGCGGTGATAAATTACTTATACTTCAAAATGTCCGATYTGAATTTTTAAYGTATTTATAAATTCTTTGACAAAATAACTAGGCTTTCCAGGAAGTTAACCTTAAAATTAAGATATTTTTTTTTTAAATCTCATGAAATAATTGCATTACATTTGCATTTATTTTCGGCACATCTTACTTTATATCAAAAATAACCTTTTTTCGAAATTACAATCAAACTTCAGGAATTATGTTTAATTTACTACCACTTTTAGTAGTTTTTATAGGTTAAGAATATATTTATTTTTTTCACGATTTATTGATATGTGCGTGCGCGTGTGAGAGTCTTACAGCTGCCTGAAGGTCGATGCGGCGTAGTGATTCTCGGAAACAAATAGCCAATAAGGATTACTGGATAGGTGTAGAAAAATAACTATAATGGGCAACAATAATAATAACGATTATTTCTAAAATTATAATTTATACTTATAATTATATGTAGGTACAACCATTAAAATATTGTATTTAAATATGAAATATACTACCTACTTATAACTTATTATAAATCATTTCATTTCAACATTACGTGCTGATCGGCAAAGTTGTCTGTGGTGTCTTATTTTGTAGTGTTTTGTGTTCTTTTTTTTTAAATTTTACAAAATGGGTAAACACTGCCGTTTTGGTGAAAAATTAGATGCAAGTTAAGT